ACTGAAGATGTCTGAGAACATGGTTCAAAGCCCCTGTCCTGTGCAATTTCATAATATTACTGAATAGGAATAATTAGTCCATGAAGAATGGCACAGTAGACTATACTGTTAACATTTGTGCTTAGTGTGGACTATACATAAAGATCATTGTGGGTTTGGGACTTCTGTATTCAGAGAACTGTGATATCATTCAGGTTTGCCCTCCTGACTCTGTGATGATACTTAGAGATGTGACTCTGCAGAGGGTGGACTGACTCTGAGTTGATAAAGCTTTAACCTCCAGTGGTAGAATGGAGTTAGAAACTTGAGTGAAATGATGTAGTTACCATCCATGTGTTTGTCTGACCTCACTTTTGAGATGGTTTTCAGTCCTTCTGTTCACAATTTCCAGGTGATGTCTTTAATCTTCCCTTTTCTGTCATTCACTCCTCTCTTCCTTCTGCATGCAGGATGGTGTTGAGAAGGGAGTTCAGCTTTGTATTTAAGTCACAACTTTGACATTTGTAGGCTAGAGCTAGTGCTGCAGTCTGTCTCAGGAAATCCAAGGGGAAATTCCAATCTCAAGCCATTTGTCCCTGTGCTGAATGACTTGAGATGTTTCATCAGTAACTCAGGATTCAGATCTGCATTTGAATCTTAAGGCAGCTAAGCTGGTTCTTATTTCACATGTATGAATGATCTTACTAATCTCATGAAAAAGGTAGTGCAGGATGATTACAGTCATCTTTAGTAACCCTAAGTGGGACTGGATCCAGTAGCTTGCTGGAGACATCTTTCAGCTCAGCCAGGATGCTCTCAGTACCAAGACTTGAGCCTTCCAAGTTCATAGCTGAGATTCTTCAGCAAATTTTTGAGTTTGTGCCTGGTACTTTGGTAACTGCTACACCTGCTCCGGTGTGGTGCCACTATGTTAAATTCCTGTGTTCTGCATTACAGGGCTTGAATGCTGAGGTAGTATGGGCTATACTGGCTCATATTGTCACAGTGGTAGTGTGGGCTGTATTGGCTCAGGAGTTAAAGGAGAAATGATGGCTTTGTTACCTCAAGGTTGGAACCTAGTTTCAGTATTGCAGCTTCACCATTGTGACCAAAAATGTTGATTCTGGAAGCACTTCTTACAAGCTTCTGAGCTAGTAGCTCAACAGGGCTAGGATTAAGTGCAGGGTATATGTGGGGAAGAGTGATGGAAAAAAAGTTATGATGTCTAGCTGGAAGGAATACTGCAATGTATGTTCTGGGGTACCGGAGTAGCATGTACCAAGGGTTAAATTGAGTGAATGTGCATTTGACAGAGTGACTGAGGAGCTTGTTTCTAGATGTTGAAATCAGTGGATGAAGGGAATTTCCAGAGAAATTGAAATAATTTATTTTTGAGTTCAGTTTCAAAGATTACATAAAATTAAGATGTTTGTTTATATTGTAGTGTCTTAATATTCCTTTTTATAATGTATTTTTACAACAAGTAGTAAAAATGAAAGCAAGACCTTACTTCCTCTATAGTTCTGAAAATTTGATGTAAATTTTATGGTAATATATACAGAGTTCCCTTTCTCCTAGGATTATTTGTATGTAGTCAAGCTTACTGTGCATTTGAATACAATTTACACATTTTATGCTGTTTGCAAATAACTTATTTTCTACTCACAGATGTATGTAAAATCAGATAAGTGGCATTATTTAGCAAAAACAATAGCCATGTTTGTCTTAGCCTATAGACAGCAGGACCCTGTGATAGTTGGAATAATGAAAGCACAGTTTATAAGAATAGATGTGGAGGAAAATATAGCTGTTTTAGAATTCTGCTGACTTTTGTGAAAAGCTGCTCTTGTTTTCTATATGGCAGAGAAAAGGATATGGGTTAAAGGAAAACTTTTGCATTATTTTGCTGTACCATTATTGCCCAATAGATCATTTGCTGCTATTATGTACTACTAAAGAAGTAATGAAAAATATCCTGCAAATAATAATAGTTTGAGTCTCTAATCTTTATAAGGTTAGATATAAAAGCTTACTGAAGCCTGTTCGATCATGTCTCTTTGTCTTTGGTCCTAAGGTTGAGGTTAGATGTTTCTTTTTGTGTAAGAAGAACGTATCATTTGACTTTATTTATAGAGTCCTTGGTGGCTTTGGGGAGGGGAGGTAGGGGAGAAGGAGTATACTTACATCACTGCATCACTGCAGGGCAGGATTCATAAAACAGCTTTTGAATGCCTGTTCCTGCAGTGGTATCAGATAATTAGGAACTTCTTGTTAGCATGAAGTGTGACTAGTTTAAGTGGTGTTTGTATGGATCAAATGCATTATGCTGCTGCAATCTCTTAAATGGTATTAAATCATTATGTTTAGATTTGCACTGGAGGTTTTATTATTTCCTTTTTTTTTTAAATAAAGTAAGGAAATATTTCTTTATGGCTTTTAGTAAGTTTGCAGCCACAGCTTTTGGATCTTATGCATTTAGTGTGCATCTTGGTATTGTAGTATCTACTGTAAAATATTAATATTTTGCAGAATAATGAATAACCTGGCACTAACAGAAGAAAATGTTATTTGTCAGTGCACATGGGGAACTTTAAAAATCTATCTTAGAGTGGCTTCACCTCCAGTTTTCCTTATACTTCATGAGATTGCTAGAGAGCCTATGTCTCTAACTTGTCATTTATCCTGATTTTACATTGATGCTATTGTTACTGACCTTAGAAAATTACTGGATCTTAACAACTTCTACTCCTTGTTCATACATGTGGCTTCAGGTAGTGTAATGGCCATGATTATAAGCCCTTGCAGTATTCTGGCTCTGATTGTCCCTGGACAATTAGCTTAACCCTAATTTAAAAATAAGTTCTATTTGGTAACGGAGGAGATTCTTGTATCCTTGTGATCCTCTAGAGTGAAGTTGTTCTTCACTGATTAGAGGGAGTGACTTAAAATATTATTTAATCTTATTGGAGAGTTACAATTTATTTCTAAGCAGTAATCAAAATAGAAGTTGTACTTCAATAAATTTCCATACCTGTTCTCTCTTCTGAAAGAGCTGGTATGTCCCTGTTGACATAGATTGACCCACTTCAATCACTGTCTGTAGGAAGTGTTAAACTATATATTGTATAGTTATGTACTTTATTTTCAGGCTGGAATATAGGATGGTAGGACTCTAGGATAGGCCAAGTTGGGCTAAGTCCTACTGTGCAAGCAATTTGTGTCTAACTTCCTAACTATCCTTATTTTCTAAAAGGCAAGGCCAAATAATTGCATTTGGGAAAGTCACCCAAGATTATATGGTTGCATGTAGTGCTTTCAGTGCTATAACCCTGCTGAAGTATAGAGAAAGCCGTGTTAATTGTTCAAGTCAACCAGCAAAATGACAAGGGCTGAGGTTGAATAGTCATGGTTCCTACAGCACATCCTTCTCTGTTCATGCATGTGACTCTCATTAAAGCAAATATTCTCTAATTAGGGTTGTGGCTACTCTTATGAGCCCTTTAACAGTTAATTAGAGCACACTTTGGAAGTTGGGGAGGTTCTCCTGTTTGCATAATCTTGGGTTTCCTGATTTCTTAGAAGTGTAGGGTCTAGTGACTTAAATACTTGAATGCTCTGCCATCACTACTTAGGAATTTGGGAATACCACAATCTATATAGGAAAAACAGCTGTCACATTTCCTAGAGTGAAGGAGTATGAGTCTCTGACATGATCCTCCCTAATTAAATTGCTTGGCACTGGGGAGAGGAAGATGCCCTTCATTTTTTTGAGTTTCAGCCTACTGCAAAAAAAAGGCCAAGATAAACCTCCTGTACAAAGGCAGATGCTGATCCTTGCCAATGGCACTGAAGTTGCCCTGAGGCTTTTTTTTGGGGTCTCACTCTGGATGGGTATGTGTTAGGCAGACCTCTTCCCCTAAATCTTCTGTCACAGCTGCCCTTAATCAAAGGCGGTGTAAAGAATTTTGCTCAAAATGCTAGGAACTACACATTTTGCTTCCTTTAAAATACATGGGTTTAGATTCCTAGGCACCAACATACTCTCTTAGGTTCCTAATTTTAGACACCTGGTCCTGTTATCCTTTTGAAATGGTAGTTTTTTTGTTAACGTGTGGGTCACCATAGTTGTATACGAAGATGAGGTTTTGCATTGGCTTTTTTCCCCAGGAGTGGAGCAGCACAACCTCCTCCTAAGCTCATGTTCACCGTATTTACCTTTGGTGCTGATGAGTAAGTGAAAACATGGGATCTGTAGGCACACATCCTTCACTGAAGCTGTTTACATTCTGTAGTTTGGGAATTTTTTTTTTGCTTTGTGTACTGTGCAGTTTTTTTGCCGGTTCTAATTTGCCATGACGTGGTCAGTGCTGTTTCCTTCCGGCTGCTTGCGAGCCTGTGGTAGAGATAAGGGTACGCGTACAGTGCATTTTTAACATGAAGCTGAAGATCTGTTTCATGTAGGAACTTGGGGACTCTCTGGATTGTACAAAGAATTTATGTACTGGTTTTATCATTTTCACACTGGGAAAGATCTAGAGCACTTTACTTGCAAAATAACAACTTTGCTAAATTTGAACTGTGTGTGAAGAAGAAAGGTGATGTACTTGAGATATCTACAGCCGAGTAGGTTAGTCTAGGGTTTGTATTTTTACTTTGAGTAAACTGTAAAGATGAGAGTTACTAATGAATGTGAAAACTGCATATATGAATCAAATGAAAACATGGATTTTCTTTTTGTTAACTTCTGTCACTTTTCCTTAGTCGCATGCCTTTAATACGAAACACTTTGAAACTGATGTCTTACTTCCTGAAACAGTTTTGTTTCAGGAATGAAAATTTGTTTCAGGGAATGAAAATTCACATATGTTAATCAGTTAAACTAATACCTTTGGAGACACAGAAGTGTTTGACTTCCTTGGACTTAGATAGAACAGTTTTATTGCTTTATTGCAACTGCTACTATTTTGCATAGCTGAAGTAATAATTTTTTAATGATAATTTTTTTATTTTTCTCTCTGCAGTGACAAAGGCTATTGAGGTGGAAAGAATAACTCAGGGAAGGATTTGCCTTGGTTTGTTTCACTTTGAGAAGAGAAGAACCCAGGAACACTGATGATTTAAGAAATACAAACACTGATACTCAATTCGTTTTGTGATCCTGCCTTTCTGCTCAGCTGGACCTCGGTGACATTCTCCATTCTTTTGCATTTGAGAACATTTTTCTTTGTATGTGGAGCTGAGACCTGGGAATGCGTTATTATGGCAGCAGTTGTACAGCAGAATGAGCTTGTGTTTGAATTTGCCAGCAACGTCATGGAGGATGAGCAGCAGGTATGGGACGGTGTAAGAAACCATATTTGTACAAGTCAGTGCTAAGAGTATTGTTAAAGTTGAGGAAAAAGTGTGGTGTAAAACACAAAAAGGAAACATTGAGGTCATTATTGTTGCAGCAGATCTTTGTGCTGTTTCAAAAGCTTCCGGTTGCTTCCTGTAACTTGCACGGGCAGAACAGAAATTGATTGAAATGCTATAACTTCTGCAGTATTGGAGAGACATGCTCCTCCAAAAACGTTTTTTTCTGTTTTGCTGATTTGTGCCAGTAGAATCCATGTGTGTGTGATGTACAATTTCCCAATTTCTGGTATTTTACAGTAGTTTCAACTTCTCTAGAACATGCTAGAATAAAATTCTGAAAAAAAGTAATGGTCGCGCTATAGATGACTGCAAGGGACAGTATGTACCTGCTTGCTGTTATTTACAGATTGGTTTCTAAATTGTGTCATTGTATATCAACTATTCAGAAATAAGCTCGAATGTAATTTAAATTGGTTTTTTTTCACACTGCAGAGAAAATATGCCTGTTTCTACCTGAGTAGTCTCTCAGTTAGATATTGATTATTTAAACCACATCCTAAGTCCTGAAGCTTCATTGTCAGATTCCTCTTGTAAAAATCAGGTGCCTCCTCTGTAGCTGGTCGTTAATAGTAGATTTTACATTTATTTACAAGAAATTAGGTGTCTGGGTACTGTGGAGAAACAGTTCTTAAAAGGCCGAGAGGTGCCATGACAAACTGTTCCTCTTTTTGTTAATGTGAAAAGCATTTATTCTCTGTTTAAAAAAGTATTTTTGGCTTCATAATCTTGTCTCTGTTTTTCTGTATGGCCTAATATCTGGCTGGGTCAGTGGCCTGTTTCTGCTGTCAGAGTCATGCGATCATTTCAATGAACTGAGTGTTGTCTGTCTGAAGTGCTAACTCATTTTTGGGTGGAATTAGTAATGTAACTTCCTTCCCTGTATTTTTCCAGAGCTTGTGGTAGCCTGGGGATTTAGATATGGGAATTGCACAAGTGTAGTCGAAAATGAGCCTTACTTATTACCTCTGTTGGTTGTTCATTGCTGTCTTTACTTTACAAGCCAATGGGAGAGGGGAGAATTGAGATGGGAAGGGTTACTTCAGTAGTGTGGTTCCTGGGAGGGGCAGTGCGAGCAGACATGGTTTTGTTCAGTTTAGCCGTGTGTTCTGCCTCTTGCAATTTCTTCAGATGCGCACCTGAAAAACTTTGAAAAATACTAAAGAGCACTCAAAAGGACAGTAAAACCTCTCTTAGCAGAGCTTTCTTCAGCTTCGGAACAAACTCCATCGTGATTTTTATCTCATAACCCTACTAAATTCTGCTCCAGAGAAGCCTAAGGCAAGAAGGCATCCTGTAGCATACGCTTAAAGGTGATGAAATCAAAGGTAGAGAGTACATAGCAGAAAGTCTATCACTGTAAACTGTCAGATGCAAGCTCCTCTTAAATCACTGGGTTGACTTAGTTCAGATATAAAGGTGCAGTTAGTTAAATCTGGAATACTCAGTTGTAGAAGAGAAGTCCTGCAAAGACTGCAGGAGTAAAGACTCCCTGCAGGAGTAAAGACCTGGGAAGCTGGAGCAAGATTTAATTTGGACAAGGATTCATAGCACAACATTAGCCTGAAGAGGCTGCTTCTTGCTTATACTTGATGGATCTGCTTCTTACCACATAGGAGCTGTTGCTACTCTGGAAGTTTTTAAATTCTGGATAGATTAAGTGTATTTAAGGATGGATAACATAATTTGTACTTTTCAAAAGTTTTAGCTCTGTAAGTGCTCTCTGTTGGGCAAAAGCATTTTTTTGATTTTCATCAGTATACGAAATGTGACATTTACACAGAGATGTAATTTAACTGATCTTTGGATAATTATTTTTGTGATGCCCCCACATCATTGCAAGCTGTCATTGCAAGAACTTTGGTACTTTTCTTCTTGACAAAGCTTTGCCTGGAGCTCAGTTGTGCTAAGAGCTGTTGGGACATGGAACAGCTGCAGGGAGAGGTTCAGGGTCTAAATGGCAGCTATGCTCAGTATTTCAGGGAAGTCATAATTCATGGCTATTTTGTTTAATTTTTTTTTTTAAGTCTTGGTTAAACAACCGTAAATTATGAACAGTCCATTTGCAAATGTAAGCATTCAGCATTCAGTGGCAAATGGCAATGGGAGGGGCTCAATCACATGGACCCGTGTGAACGGGAAAGGCTTGCTCTTATCAGCTTTATCCTTTGCAGTTTAGAACAGAATGACTTTTTTTTTTCTTGAGAGATTCCTTTATCACGTGGTAGATGTATGGTGAGGAAGAAACAGGAAGAAAATATCCTTGTAATTTTGAGAAGGGAACAAGTGGCTTGGGCTAAGGCTACTGATAACCTGTCTGGCTTCTGCTACATGACAGAGATCTGGTTAAAATAGAGGGTTTGCTATTTTTCCTCCTTTCTGTGTTTTTGTTTTTTTCTTTGTTTTGTTTTGCTTTGTTTGGATTATATTTTGTTGAGAGAGTGGGAGAGAGGGAGAAACTGCACAGATAAAACTGTCCAAGAGCTTGTACAGGCTTTAGCTGAGTCAGTGCTGCTCCCTAAACCTACTTCTCTTCCTGTCTGCAGCTTCTTCTGTCAACGTCTTTTCATTTAGTCCTTTGTGGACTTACAGCTAATGTGATATTCGATCAAGACATTCTTAATTTAAAATGTTGAATAAAAGCAGCCAGAGTGGCTAGATCCATACCAGGAAGCTTCGAATGCTACCAGGGACAAGCTGAATCATTACAACCATTAAGTTGGTAACAGGGTTCCCAGCATGACTGTTCATTGTCAGGACGTGCTCTCTCAAGTGGCTCTGATGCGTGTAGTAACCAGTGCCTGAAGACTCCTTTTCTGTCTCTGAGGGATGCTTCTCTCTTCCCTTCTTCTGCGGAAGAGAGGTCCAGGCCCTTAGGTCGGGCCATGACTTCTGCACCATCATCTCATGCTTCAGTTTGCTCTTCCACATTCCCCGATGTCGCCATGGGCTTTCTGAAACATTGTCACTCGGTCAAGACCAGTGTCTTAATTTTTTTGGCTATTTCCAGCTTCTGCAGAAAGTTCCCTCCCTTATCCACTTGCAGTTTTATGAAGACTTTAAGGAAAATTGTGAAATCTGTAATGAGGTTGTCTCCCCAGGAAAACAAGCAGCATATACCTGCCTGCAGCAATCCTCAGATGCTGGCCATGGGAATGCCTTTAAAGCCAAGAGACTGCCTCTGCCTCCACATAGGAACCTTCAGCAAGAGAAAACTGAAGGCCACTTTCCAGTCACTAAGGTCACTTCACCTAGTTTTGTTTAGTTTTTGGTTTCTCTTTTAATAAATAACCATCTGCATTGTGAGTCTGAATTCTGTCGTTTGGTTAAAAAGACAGACTTTCGGGGACCTGCTCATGTGATTTTCCACGGATTTGAGCATCTGTATGAAGCTTTGCACTCCTCTGAATTGTTAAAGATCAGTCTACAGGACAGGTTTGTAGATAAACTACAGCAAGGAATTTGGTGTCTGAGATTTGGGAGGGTTTCAGCAGTAGCTCAACTTCTTTATGTATCCAGCAGATGTGGGAGATGGGCTGAAGTCAGGTCAAAGCTTTGGCAGAGCTAGGGTGTCATATTTTTAACTGTATTTTACATAAGAAAGATGGAACAGCAGAAGTAGGCAAAAGGAAAAAAATACACAAAGTATTCTTCTATGGATCTCTGTGTCAATTTCTTGAAAATCATTGCTGATTTATCCACTCTAATTTGGGACCTTTTAAAGCTTTGGGATAGTTTGCACTCTACCTTTTGGTTAGTGCATGCAGAACCACCTTTGTATTAGAAATAAATTATTTTGCTGATGAGTGTGTGTGGGACACAGTTGCCTTCATCAGAAATGAACACTCCAGCGCCTCCCCGCTTTTATAGTCAATGCAGAGAAATAGGTGGTTTTAGGGTATGACTCACCCTATTGTAGCACAGGAGCCTAAAACTGGGGAGGGGAACTATGCCCTAGAAATACCATTTCTGTCTGTTGGCTCTGAATAAAACCTGGGGTTCCCAGCTCATGTCCAAGTGCCTGCACCACCAGCTGTCCAAAGTTAGGTGAGATGAACCTCACCCTTAGCGTCTATAAACTAGAGCAGGATGAGAAGACTGAAACCTTCTTACTTGCATCTTCCCTACCTAAAATCCATAGTTCTTACATGGTCACTGGAATACTGAAAAGGTACTTGCAAAGCATGTACTGTTCTTGCTTGCAGGTGACTGGAGCCTGAGTGGATAGCTGTGTGTAATCCTTTTTCAAATTTTCTTTAAATGTAGTTGCATATGGGCATGCGATAGATGAAACTTACATCCCCAAATTATGTACTGTGGCATATTACTGAATTTGAGGTATTTAAACTACTTTTAGAACATGAATTTTATCTCAGAAGGTTGTCATGGACCATCTTCCTGTAGCTTATGGAACGTCTTGTTAAAAATAAAACTTTTTTTTAATGCATAGAGTTGTTTTTTTTTCTTCTCTCTTTACAGTGCTTTATCTTTTTTTACTGATGTGGCTTTTATTTAATCTAATCTTGCCTGGAAGCAAATAGGATCAAGGATGTTGGGGTCAGTAAACAAATAGGATAAACCATGTGGACATGACTCTTTCTGAGGAACAGCAGGGACCTCTTGGCCACCAATGACTTCTGGTTTCTGCGCTCCGGCACGATGCAGCGCTGGTTAGAGGTAGCCACAAAGGTGTGGGGTAGAAGCTATCCCGTTGCTTGACTCGATGTATGCCTATTATCTGGCAACATGATTGCACAAGAGGGCTTTAACTGGTCTGCACTTTGTTCATTTTTATTGATCTCCTACCATATTGCTCTCTTTTGAAGCTTATGTTTAACAGAGTCGGTCAGTTATTTGTTGGGATTTTTTTTAATTTTGGTTTTGTTGGCATTTTTTTGCTTAGCAGACTGTCCATGATAGAAGCCCATTAAAATACCAGTTTTGTTTCTTAGTTCTTCCTTTTATCCTGGTTGTCCTTTACCACAGTTTTTGCTGAGACATGTTTTACAAAACACAGAGCAATTTGAAGTGGTAATTACTGCCTTTTAAAACTTCTAATTGCACTTTCTACTTTCAGTACTTACTTATGGTCCAGACTCTTCCCTAGGGGAAGCTTTGTCTGTGTTGAGCCAATAGCTCTGATACCATTTTCCATTGGTGACGGTGTGTGTAGTGGCAAGAGTGAGACATGAGCGATTCCCGAGCAAGATCATAATCATATGGTTGGGTTTTAACCTTGTGTTTCTTCCTTGTGTGGTTAAATAAAACTACCTGTTCTTCCTTCAGTACCTGAAGGGAGCCTACAAGAAAGACTGAGACCATATACAGGAGCATGTAGTGACAGGACAGGTGGGAATGGCTTCAAACTAAAAGAGAGCAGGTTTAGATTGGATATTAGGAAAAGTTCTTTACTGCGAAGGTGGAAGGGTAGTGGAACAGGTTGCCCAGAGCAGTTGCAATGCCCCATCCCTGGAAGTGTTTAAGGCCAGGCTGGATGGAGCTCTGAGCCACATGGTCTAGTTAAAAGTGTCGGGCAGGAGGGTTGGAACTAGATGAACCTTGCAATACAGGCCATTCTTTGATTCTGTAATCTGTACATATCTGTGCTCTTCTGTGGAGAGCAAGACCAAATGTACTTATACTGGTTCTCTCAGAAACGTGTTTTAGCAACGTTCTGGTTTGTTTTCTTGGTTTTAAGCTTACCACATTCATAGCATGTTTTATTTTTGTAATGAGGGAACCTTAAAGTTACAGTAGACTTTCTTTGAACCTGCTCTGCTATCACCAGCTATGACTTTCTTCCTGCAAATGACATTTTAAAAGACTCAGTTTAGAAAATACTGTGTCTGTAGTAGATGTTATTTTCTGAAAACCTCTTCCTGTTGAATGATTTCAGAGTGTGCATTTCATTATTATTGCTGGTCAACTTGATTTCTGTTTTCCACCTACCTCTTCTCTTCTATATCTCTGATGCAAAATAACTATCAAGACAACAGGATGATGTCTGAAAGCAGACTTAGGAAGGAAAGTGGCAGGGAGGGTGTGGTGTGAGGAATGTCAAGTGACTAAAACCATAAGAATTAGAGAGGGAATGTACTAGAGCACTTATATCAACCCATTACACACCTTCATCTTTTAGCAAGTGTGTCCTAAAATAGTGAACTTCAAATAATGTCTCATGGGAAACTTAGTGCCTGTGAGAGCTTCATCCAGTCCTGACAGCCACAGGACTCCTCCACCCCAACTTGATGGGAAGAGCAAAAGATAAAGGTGCTTGCAGCAAGTCGCTTATGCAGTATTATTGTCAGCAAAGTTTTTCACCTACTGCCCTATGCCACTCCTCTGTATTGTCAGCTTTAATGCTGTAAAATCATGTCATAGAAGTCTGGTATTGCGTACTGGAATAAAGTCAATACATTAAATACTTCAGTGATATTCAGCCTCTGTCTCGTAATGGGACACTGCTGCTATTTGGTTTCATGTGCTAAAAATCATCTTGTTCTTAGGTACTCTCTCCTGGCAGTCTGACATTCAAGTGATGTAGTATAGGTCTGCTGAAGTATTAATCAGTAAGTGGTTAAATTGGATGTGGTCTAACTACTGTTTTGTTGTTGATTTTTTTCCCTCATCCTCCAGCTTGGTGATCCATCCATTTTCCCTGCTGTCATCGTGGAGCATGTTCCTAGTGCAGAACTCCTACATAACTACTCTGGCTTAACCTGTGTGGATGAACCTAGTGACATGATCACTGAAAACTCTCTGGACGTCGCAGAAGAGCAAATCATAGAAGATGATGATATCACCCTCACAGGTTGTTAATAAAAACATTTTCTATGAGATGTTTTTGCACCAAGATGGCTGTGACTAATGGTGGAAAAAAGCTTAATGACAAAAAACAACAAGAGAATAACATGAATAGTTGTACTGAATGCTGTTAATTCTGTAAGAGACAGAGAAAATGGCATTAATACTGTTGGCAGGTGGCTTGCAATCCCAGTTGCACAGCTGATAATGGTGAAGAGTTTCATTCATCAACTTCATCCAGAGATTAAGGCAGAGTCCTGCTCAGAGTACCAAGAAGATTTTTCTTTGCTCTTCATAGGTTTAGTTTGCTCTTATTTAATAGCCAGTACATTCCTGAGTAAACATGTATACCAAAAAGCTGGAATATGCAGCTTGAGTAGATGTACTACTTTTAACTTTCTGAGGGTGTACAGTTAGCTATAAAATGTGCACATTAGCGTGACTTACTGGTGTAAGTATGCTCAGCATAGTAATTATTTTGGATGTCTAATAATAATTAATACCTAAAATACATATTTTGTGTAAGTTCTCTTAGAAAATGTATCCCCAAAGAGAAAACAATTCTCAAGAGAAAAGCTCAAAGAGTTCACATTTTTTAAAAAACAGCCCCTCACTTAATGCATGCGTTTGAAGCATTTTTGGAGAACAAATTTCAAAGGTGGGGTAGTCTCCTTTCATCCACTAGGCTCCACACCTGGACTGTCTCCAGGGATGCAGACAGCTTTTTGATTTCACTCATGCTTTTGACATTGTTTCCAAAGGGATATTCTGATACAACCTTTTACTACCAAAAGCAAAACAAGAACTGGACATGAAGAACAGTTCACAGAGTAAATTGACATGAGCTGTTCTCAGTAAATTGCTGATGAAAATCGCTCTTTTTTTTTCTTAGTAGTGAATTATCTGAGAACAGACTGTGACCAAACAAATAAGTTAGGTTATTATTCAAGAAGGTCTTACGTACTCAAACATTATTTGAGACCTCTTGCCAACTATTCACTTGCTGTTCATATTAATTATTCACACTGCAACTGGCATTTCCTCAGTGTGTTACTTAAGCACCACTTAATGTGTCTGTGTGAATTTTCATAGTGGATCGTTTTTGTGAATCCATATTCACTGTAATAATATCTTGTGTGTGAACTTTTACTTGCATGAGTAATTGTGAAACTCCACTTTTGTGGAGTTTAAGAAAACTTCTTAAAGTTTTTTTTTGTTGCTGGTCACATGAGAATGGTTTGCAAATTGCTGCCAGAAACTGAAAATATGTAATCCTTGTAACCGTTGGTGTCCAAGGGTTTCAGGGATACTTTGGAGGCAGACAAGTACAGTATTGTTCCTATCATCCGTTGTAGTTGAAGCAGTCTGGTTTTCTTTAAAAGCAAAGTCCTGAGAAATGGAGAGCTGCCACTTTGCAGAGATTATTGTTGTGAAGGAGATGCTACCTAATTATCTGTTTCACATTCTCCATCCTGCTAGCTACTGTGCATGCTGTGGATTTCCTTGGAAGGTAGATGAATGCAGGCCGGGCAGGGACCAGCATAACTGCTGGAAAGCTCCTGCTCAGGATGCAAGACAGGCAGCACTGGTAGTAGCTCAGCCCATGGTTTCTGGCAGGGAGCTATCCTGCCTGACTCTAGTGGGCTAGAGTCTGGGGCCCAGGGCTGTGAAGGCACCCCAGAGGAGGTAAGGAGAGGACATGGGGGAAGAAGGCCCCTGTCACCTCTCTGCCCACTGCAGACAAGCATTGGCTGTGGCCACAGCTGCCGGCTTGAACTGCAAGACTGCTGTGTGGAAGAGACCCAGTTCAAGCACAGCTTGCTGTAGGCTGCCTCTGAAATGAGACTAATTGTAACTAGAATTTCCCACCTACTCTTTTTTCAGCTGATTTTTTTTTTCTTCCCTTCTTTAAAGTTTCCTTGATTTTATTCATGCGCATGTTCGGTCTCAACAGTGAAATGAGTTGTTTTGCTCTTTGAAGTTTGTACCAGTTTTTTCAGGCACTTCCACGTTATGCCTTTGAGAGAGGATCAGACATTGTAAAGGCTGCACTAATTCCACAGTAAAATATTTATAAGCTTGAAGTTCACAGCAAAACAAAACTGAAACCACCATCATTAATGACTAAACTTTACTAAGCGATGAATGCTTAATATGAAGGATTTAGGTTTTTTTAAGTTACTGTTTTTTTCAGTAATGTTTTATGACTAAAACAATAAGCTTCTCTTTTTTCCTGGACTAACGGAAATTAGCAGTAGGCCTCATGATACTGAAGCACTTAGTTTTTAGGGATCTATGTGCAGAATAATGGATGGTGGTAGGTTTTTTCATCTATAAGATGTAGCTTCAGCCCTTCAAAAGCACAGCTGTCACACATTGGTGATTACTTGCCTGTAGTATAAATTATAACCTGCAGAAAGCTGTAAGAATAGCATCTGTTTCACGTGAAGCCCTGCTGAGAGATGGCCAGCAACCAGCTTTTTAGTTATGTTAACATTCACGCCGTAATTTTTTTATAATGAATAGGCAGACCTGCCTTATCACCCTCTTCTTTAAAAGCAGTTTTCCCTGGAAGAAACTGTGATGGCAATTTTATGGTCAGTTTGTTGCCAGTATTATGGAATTTTAAATGATTAACCATCATGTAGTAAAGGGTGATTAACAAAATTAATTGGAGCATTTGGCTTTGAATTTAGTTTTATCTCTAAATGGAATATTGAAATTTTTTTCCTGTGACAAATACAGGAGATAATGTTTTGTGCAGAGGAAATTCCAAGCCAACTTGTCAGATAGTACAATTTGCTACACTTTGTATATTTTACCATTGTGGCTTATTATGCTTTTAAGGTGCACAGGAAGAAAGAACTAATGTAATTCCTGAAACCCTTCTTTTAATTATTGTTATAATTTTTTCTTTTAATTTTACCATGATTGGTGAGTTTAATTTAGAAAAAACAACAGTTAATCGAAGCCTGCCATTTTGTGGTTCACCTGTTCTGGCATTGTTTCATGGGAACAGGAAAGTGGCAGCACTGAGACAGTTTGGGGGGGCGGGGGATGACAGAGGAGGGACACAGAAAATTTGCACTTAAATGCCCTGTGCCCTAGTCTGAATAGGGAGCGTGGAGGTGTGCATTTTCAGAGATCAGTAACAGTTATTACTAACCAGTTCTGAAGTTATTTTACAACATTTTGAAGTTCGGTAGCATTTGCTTTGTACGTTTTGTGAAGCTCTAGCAGTCCTGCACAAACTCAGCGTCTTAGGTAGTCATTTGTGATGTACAAAGAAATCCAAAGGAGTAGTTAGGTGGAAACTGAACTTCAGTGTTAATCTGTGAGGATTATGGGTTGATGAGATGCCAGTTGTAAAAAAAGGGGTATGGTTTCAGTTACTTTGTAAAGAATTTATTCACGGCTGCCTGTGGCGTCTGGTTAAAAACAGAGAGGGTTTTTTCATATACCTCCCCAGTGAGGTAATTTTCTTTATAAATTGTGAAGCCCTATTTTAAAAGGAAAATGAAGGGTGATGTGCAGGTATTCTGAAGTACTTGGGTTCTTAAACTGAGTTTTCCAGTGTCCGATAACAATCAGCTAAGAGTTGATACTAAAAAGTGAGTGCTTAAATTTAACAGCCAGCTATTCTGCAAAAGGGAGCTCTGTCTGTGTTTTGTGGATCTCTTTATACCTTTAGTAACTTCAGATTTCTTCTGACATTATTTTGAGGCTTTGCAGTGCCTGGTTTTGTCTCTAGTAAAGCCAGCAGTGAATTTAAACACAGTTGTGACTACCACAGCCCATATCTCAGCCTGAACATGGACTTGTGTTGTCCACTCTCCAGAGCTGCCAGCCACCAGGGAAGCAAAGGGAGGGGACAGGATTGGCTGGAGTGGTGTAAAAATTTCAAAAAAGACAGTAGTAAGGAAATAAGGAAAGCAGGACTTTGGACTGAGGTGGGGAACTTCCAACATGAAGCACAGTTACAGAGCAGAAAGCTCTGTTTGGGCAAGCCTCGGGCCAACGCTGATTCATAGCGTACCTGGATTCACAGTAACTGGGCTGTAATTGGCATGCAGATACAGAGGCTTACATTTGTGGCTTGCTCAGATAAACAAAAACTTGTAGAGGACCTTGGGAAAAAAACTGAAGATATTTTTAGGTGTGGTTTTCCCCCTCCCCTCTCTTTTTTGTTTTCCCTTTTTTTCTCCTCCCTTTTTCTTCTCCCATTTTTTCTTCCCTGACTCTTTTTCCCTTTTTCATTTTTTCCTTACCCATTTTTTTACCTCTTTTTTCCTTTTTTTTTTTAAAAAAAAAGCTTACACCTATTTAAGATAATGTTTGAAATGTGATACTTGTCAGAAATTATACCCTCCACCCTCGTTCTTTCAGTTCTGACTTTGCCGAGTGTAACAAATAAGCCATCTCATTCCAGTTCTTCTTAAATCTGCTGCTTGTTGAGGAAGACATCTAGTCCAGGTAGCTTTGCTTGCAAACAGATTGAGATCTGGGTGGGAGCCAAAGACACAGGGCTGTGAACTGTCAACCTTTGGGATAACAAAGGGCACGAAGATGGGTGAAGCAAGCCAGGTGGATGGACACTGAGAGACACAGCAGGAGCCAGGAATTGCTGACCTTTTAGGTAACAAAGGAGAGGAAGACTGGTGACACCAGTGAGGTGGAGGGACATGGACAGGAAGAGCAAGACTTGTGCATGGGTAGACTGTAAGGGTATAAAAGCCCAGGGGTTTCTTGGTTGGGGGTCCTCCTTGGAGGCATCAGCTTGGGCTGTTTCTGTGTTACTGTGCTGTGAATAAATGGCTTTGTGGAATGAGACATCTGAGACTGCCATGGGAAACCTAGGTTTGAACCAGTAAGGAAACTTGGTCTGACTGTGTGAGTGGGGTGTGTGGGGAGTCAAGCTGGGCACCGTCAGCTCATTGAGCCATGCCCTGTGAAGGGACCTCTGCCCCAGCAGTGGCAGTCTCTGACCTTGGGAGTGCGACTGCCAGAGAGTCTCATGAATGGTCAGACTGGGTAGTTTCCTTAACATGCTTATGTTTTTTGTGAGCATCAAATTATATGAATTTCTATGCTTACGTTATTTATATGGCTATTTTAAGTTCCTTTCTTTAGTCTTGGATAAGGATGGTAAAGCTTTAGCCATGTCGTATAACAGTGATGTAAAGCTGGCAACCTCTGCTGTTGTTCGGGGGAAGAAGTGACTCTACTCCATAACCTGAAAGCCAGTGAGTGGGTTTGGTCCTCCTACAGCTCTCGGTGGGGAAAGAGGAGACAGCAGCAGCTCTCTCCTCCCTACCTGCAGCGCTGAGAACCTGGAGGTACCACTGCTAGCTTTTAAATTGTATGTGGCAGCGTAAACCAGCCATGCTCCATGGCTTTGGCTGAGCTGGATCGTGGTGGGTTAACCTTCCTGTCCATTCAGCGTTGGAACTGAGAACAACTGCTTTGTCAGTGCTGCGTGCCTATATTTAGGGTCACATCCTTATTGAGGTCTTGGTAATGCTGGTAAATGGTATGGAAAGTTTGCATCCAGATAAAACTTAGAACCAGAAATGATCAAGTCATCAGCACCAGGCCAAGCATGAGCATGCCCACAGACTGCATGGGCTGTACATGTTGTGTCTCCTACTCAGCTGGCTAGGCATTCCCTAGTGATGCTGTTTGGCCCTTGGGGCTGAGATGCTCTGTGGCTGAGCTCTTGAGCTTGCCAACTGCCTGACAAAATTATCTGCAATTTGCTGTCTTGCTCTATGGCTTCCCAGACCGGGAGCTTAGTCCATACTCACTGCCTCTCCTTTTCTCTTCATGCTGTCCTCCTCCCCAGCTCTGTGTTCCTCATTTCTTAAGGCTGTTTGGAGATGTCACCAAGAAGGTGCAGAGCCTTAACTGTCTGAATGTCTTTGCGAGATATGGGGTGGAGGTGTTCCTGTAGGCAACAGAGGATGAGTTGCTGTGTGGATCAGGGGTTCCCAACACCTATCTACTTTATTCTGTTTTAGCCTAAGCCTCTTACTCTTGGGGCTGGTGGGACTAAGGTAGAGAAAAAATCCAGAAGGTAAGGAGGCTTCTGTAAAGCACAGCTGGGTGGAGGAGGTAGGGCTCTTGTGTGCACCTCAGCATTCATCTTTGCCCTCTCCTAATGATACAAATGCTGAAGTTGTAAACATGTGGGGTGAAACCAGGGTTGGTTGGTTGGGTTTTTTTTAATTGTGTAATTGCTTATTGCTAACTGAGCTGGATGCTCTTGTTATTGCTCTGATATTTTTAAGGGTTTTTTTGGTTTGTTTTTTTTAAGTATAGAAATTTTGGCATAAACGTCTTGCTTTTGTGTGAAGAAATGTAAGAAATGTTCCAAGGTCATTACATTGTGTCTGAACGTGCATATCTGCCTTTTTTTTTTTTTTTTTTTTTTTTTTTGTAACTGCACCACCCAAAATTCCTCAAGGCTAAACAAGGAGTGAGGGCCTAAAGCTGACTTATTACCATTGCTGGACTGAGAAAGTAGATGAGGTTTCTTGGTGTCCTAGGGAGGGGAATACTAATGCAGCCCTTTTTATCACTTTGATAGATGCAAGTGAATTCCCCAAAGTTGCATCAAATTCATGTGAAAGGATAAGGAAGCCCAGCCCATGCATTTCCATCCAACAAACAGTAATTTCTAAAAGAACGTGTAAACCAGTTTTAAATGTTTACAGTACCAGGAACTACCATCTGTCTTATTTTTCATAATACAGTTATTTTAAAAAAATCCTCTGGTGAAGTACTCTTCCAGTTAAACCAATATTATCTTCTTGGGAGAGCTGTTATTTTACAAAATGATATTTTACTGGATGTTTTTGGTGTGTACCCTCAGATGACCTTCATACGTACCTTAAGCATCATAAATTAATTCTCAAGAGCTTTGGGTTTGTCTAATGACTGCCCTCCTGAGATCGATGAGGAATTGTCTAGAAGTCAAAAATTTTGGAAGGTTTGCCAGCCCTTTGTATTGCTTTTCATGTTTCATGTTTGCTTTCCAGTATGTTCTTGGAGCTTGCACTGTTAGTCTTACCTGTAATTCCTATGAGTTTGAATGGTTTAGGATTCATTTACACCTTTAGATTGTATGCTGTCCAATAGAACTTGTGGAATATTTTTTTTAATCTCCTCCAGGCTAAATGACTGGATATTTTTTATGAGCATCTCTTATTTATGGAATTCACTTCCATTCATAGAACCATAGAATTGTTAGGGTTGGAAAAGACCTCTCAGATCGTCAAGTCCTACCGTCAACCCAGCACCACCACCATGTTCACCATTAAATCATGTCCTCAAGTGTCATATCCACATGTTTTTATGTGGATAACACTTTGGACCACCATAAGAAGTTAGCAATATCATGTTTTTTTAAATAATATTCTCTAGACTATTGTTTGTGATAGTGATATTTCTTAGGTTCATGGGTTTTGTGTTTTACTGCATAATCAGCAAAGAGAGGGGTTAGAACAATGAGGCAGAAACAAAAGGTTTGTATTGGGTTTGGTTTTGGTTTTTTTTACGTGTAATTTGAAAAATGTACTGTACTAAATAAATTATTGCAGTCTGCATTTTCTCCCCAGCTAATCTGTTTCTACTCATGTACTAGAAGACCATGTTTACTACGTTTTCTTTTTTTTTTTTCTGGAAATGAAATAAGAATAAATATTGTGTTAAGCTTTAAGTCCAGTTTGTAGCTTCTTAAGAATTATTTTTTCTCCTTTACTTTTAGTTGAAGCATCTTGTCATAATGGAGATGAAACAATGGAAACAATCGAGGCTGCTGAAGCACTTCTCAATATGGACTCCCCTGGTCCTATGTTGGATGAAAAAAGAATAAGTAAGTTTTTTATGAAAGAAAATCCAATCTGTATTTGCCTTGTTTGTTTGTGAAAGGAGGAGGGATTCAGTGCAGTGTGGTTGCATGGAGTTGGTAAGATTATTTTATAACTTCCAGATACCCTTTACGTACATAGTTTGGGTATCAGAAATCCAATGTCGTATTCATTGAAAGATTTCATTGCCATGCCAGAGTTTAACAGGAAAAGAAAGAATCAACAATTACAAAGGGAAGGTATGAATGAAGTTGGATGGTTTAGATTGCAGTGTTTTGCTTGGCTAATAGAGGATTAGCACGTTGTCGGGATAAAAGAACATACACTTATATTTGCAGATTGCCTTAAATGTGGATGTGTGATCACCAGATAATTGTGCTTTTTTGGGGAGGTGGGTTATATCATTAATTTTTTCTATTTTAGTAGTGCTTCTGCTTGTGGAAAATGTTTTCAGCTCATATATTCCCTTATGAACTAGTCTTCTGTCCCTTGAACACCTGAAGTGTCATAGTTTTGTTTTATTCTATGTTTAAATTTTTGGTCTAAACCCAACTTTTAAAAGTCCTCATGGCTGTGTGAAAATATTCCTTTTGTCCTCTTCTTTTAAGCAACTATGTTTGGCGCAGCTGAAGAGGATGATATGGTGGCTCCTATTACACATGTGTCAGTCACACTTGATGGGATCCCTGAGGTGGTGGAAGCCCCAGACTCTTACGCTGAATCACCAGAGACTCCAGAATTTGAACAACCAAAGAAGAGAAAAGGTAAGATGATACTGGAGAACAGCAGTGTGGAGTAGGAGAGCAGGGGGTGGCATAATCGGTTCCCCTGTGCGTGTCTGGAACCATTCTAGTTATCAGGCCAGAATAATTGAGTGGGCTCAATTAGAAATGCAGAAAAAACATTTTCTTCCTGAGTAGCGTGAGCACATATACTGGTGCTTAGACTAATGATGTTGTGGAGATAGCAAAGATGGCTTATCCTGTAGGAAACAGAAATCTCCGCTTCTTCCTATTTGTAAGAATATTTCTTCTTCAGAGCAGAACTGCAATACAAGCTATAGAGCTTTTGTTATTGTGAATCCTGAAGTACTTTCATTAGCCCTTACCTAGCTTCAACTGAAGATACTTGATCAGTTCAGAATAGGGGATGAGAATGAGGAGGGCTTTTTAGCTTTTCTTAAATATGAAGGATTAAATTTTTTTTTTAATAGCTGCATGCTATAATAAGTGTTAATTCCATTTCTAGTAGATTACGTTTACACAGTGTAGTGATGTTCCATTGTAGTCAGTGCTGTGCCAAAGAGTAATGAAGTGGTGTTAGCCAGACCTTCTGCTCCTGTTTTCCTACCTACTTCAACGTGGACCCCATCAGAGGTCTGAAGCTGATGTCTACAAGGAAAGAGAGTCATGTAATATAGACAGATGTTAGGTGCTGTTGCAACAAATTAAAAAAAAAGAAAAAGAAAAATAAACCAAGGGCATTATGTTTCTGGAGCTAATCCTAAGGCTAACCCTAGAGCATGATAAATAAAAGCCTTCCAAAACAGGAATCCTGCTACCCAGCCAGTCAGCTACCTACCCAGTCAGCTATCCTGCTGAATAGGAGTGCATTTTTAATTCTACTTTTGCTGCTAATTCCAAATGTTGAGAGTTATCTGTGAGAGAGAGCATAGCAGCCTGTGGAGATCTTGGGGAAGCCTCCTGAGCCCCATATGTGTCACAAGGTCCTGCAGGCAGGGGTGTGGGTCAGGAAGTCTCTGATTCCCCTAAGAAAGCTGAACTGAAACTGCTGTGGAAGGGAGCTTTACCAGCAGCTGCCCTAAAAGTACTGCTGGGAAGCTACCGTGCTGTGCGCACTACTGTGAGATAACCACAGCATTTTAAACTGTTTTTTGGTTTGTTCTTTTCTTTCCTTCTTCTTTTATACTGTTGACTTCTGTGTGTGTCAAAACAAGGAGCTGCTGTCTGCCAGGCATTTAACCTCTTTGGTTTGATGCTTTCATACCCTCTTTCGTGTTGTGCTTCTGCTTACACCCACTCCTTCCTCCTCCCTAGCTGTAGATTAGAAAACCAGTTGCTTCACAGCAAATGTGTGTATTTGTTTTAGAAAAAAACCCCAAACACTAGAAAAGATTCATCAGCTTAGTGTTTCATTAGGTACTAGTCTTCAATGAATTTCAGTGTTCATGAGGTAGGTGGTATGGCCTGAGTGATGTTGAAGTGTTACTTCAAAATGTCCCGGCATTTATAAGTCATTGATGTACAAGAATTGCTGCAAAATGTTATTAATTTTGCAGTGCACTTTAGGATGATGTGCAGTGGGTGGGCGGGGTTCTTTTGAGTGTTTTGTTTGTTTGTAGGGGGTTTTTTTAAGTGCAGTCTGTTTCCCTTCCTCTGGTCAGTTTTGAGGCATGGCAAATGGTGGTGGTCATTTTGCCCTATCCATGTCACTCATGATTTTATAGGGTTTTTGTAGATTTTATAGACTTCTAGTGTATTAACCCATCATCTAAACTTAGAGGGATGAATAGTCCAGAGCGTTGCCAGCTAACTGGGCCAGAATGGCATTGTCAAGTAGAGCTTCCCCAAGAAAATGTTCTCCAGAAGTGATGAGGTGATTTCACTTCCTTTCCTTGTGGGCCTTACTGCTACAGTAGGAGAGCTGTATCCACCCACCTGCTCAACTCCAAAGGTGTTCAGTGTGATGTTTGTACTCATGAATGTCTGAGCACTGAGCTGCCAAACTACGCATCAGAAAGACAGGAAAAACAAAGGAGTGTCAGACAAAGAAACTTGGAAATTTGCTGTACTAATACCTTCAGTCCTGTATTTGCTATGGGAAGGTAGTGAAAATACCAATTATAAATTCAATTAGCTAGCCAAAACTATGGTAGCCCCACATAAGGCTTAACTCTTGCATGTTCTTCATCCTTCCTCTTTGTAAAATTCTTTCCTAAAAAGGAATTTAGTGATGTACTCTGAAAAGTAATAAATTCATGCTCTATTGAACCAAAGAAGAATGCATGCTAGTGCTTAATGTGCTTTCAAAAAATACCTTCTTTTAAACAAAGGAAACATATCTGGTGTGTCTCTGTTAATTGTTTCTCTTGATGGTATCAGTCAGCGCCTGGAGATTATAGCTCACAGTGTGGTCTGAAACCATCGTCTTAAGTATCTCTAGCCTAGATATACAGCAGTAACATGGATACGTTTCTGTAAAGAAGTTTCACATTCTTCACTGGTTGCTAATTTTGGTTGGGCTTCTGGTAGAGGACTGTCCAAATGAGATGTCCTGAAGTAGTCTAGGCTGAAGAAAGAGAGCCTAGAATTGCTGTTGCCGGAGTATTCATAATTAGTAGCCTAGGTTATCTCTAATCAGAATTATGTAAATTACATGGGATCAGTACTTCTTTTTCCTGAAGCTTACCAGCAATAGTTCAGTCATGACCCAATTGGGATCTCATCCACTTCATTGTGTCTTAAGAACTGAAGGTATTTAGAGATAAGGTCTAAATTAGTGACATCAAAATAATACTCCCTACTCCTTAATAGCTACATTTAAACCTGTTCAAGAGGGGGAGCAAGACTAGCACCCAACAGAGTCTTCCTGTGACACAACTTAGAGGGGGGAAAGCACTTAACCAAGGTTACCCTGAGGGATTTCTTGTGCCCTAGAGGCTGATCCATACAGAGTGACTTCATCTAGACTTTTTAGGGAAAACTGACATTTTTGCAACCTGTAATGGTGAGTGGATAAAAACTTTCTAAAAATATACCCCAGTAGTTCTTTATCCTTTCATATCATGATATATGAAAAAAACAATGTTGTAGGATTTCCTCCCTCCCACTTTCATTCAAGGAAAACATTACTGGCCAAAATGGTGAGTGTTGTTTGTGTCCTGTCCTCAGTCATGAATCCTGTCTGAATGGAAGCAAGAAAGTTAGCGGACTCCAGGCATTACTAGAGTTTCTTCACTATAGCTCTCTCAACTAACTATCCCTCCTCCCTCATACCCTGTCAAAAAAAGAGAAAGAAAAAGGTGCAAAGGTGGACTTAGCAATACTGCTAAGGTCAAAAGATGAGTGCTCAAACCACTGTTTCTTATGACTTCCTTATACTTGGAAGTCTAGAACAAAGGAGATAGTGCAACCTGGCACTGAGCTATTTTTTTTTTCAGAGCTAGTGAAAAACTGTCGCTCTTACTCTGCAGCAGAGTTGTTTCCTTACTAAAACAACCCCTAAAACCAAAACCAAAAGTGGAAAGCTATAGTGTATGGGATTGCTCAGGCCTATTGGTCTTGCCTCTTTTTAGAACATCAGTTCTTTTGAACTGCAATAAATAGAGAAAAAGAAAAATATTTTTCTTTAGATCTTTAATTATGAAAATATGCTATTTGGACTAGAAATATGTTTCTCTGAGTCTTATGTCTGCTTAGTCTGTTCTGCCTCTCAAAGGATCATAGGCAGTAATTTAAGTAATTTAAGTAATGTCAGTGTAGTAAGGGGTCACTGCAAAACCTGATAAGATAAATTGCTGTTTCATAAGAAAGTTCTGAAGGTTTCTGGTTAATTACTTCACCTGTAAAAGCTGCCATTGCAGAGAATGAGAACTAATAAAGGAGTAGGTTCAAGGTTTTATATTGAAAAATATTTCAGCATGACTTCGATTTTTTTATTTCCTTATGTTTCAGTAGTTGATTTTGCAGCATTTTCATATGAATGCTCTTCATTCTTCTAATCAGTTGTAACTAACTTCTTTCTTTCGGTCTTCCTTACCAAATAGAGCCACCATTCTTATGACTTTAAAAACTGATTTTTTTTTTCAGAGTTTGTTACTGGTTCTTCTGATTGTTATAAACAAGTGACTTTCCTCTATGTGCAGCCACTGTTGAAAAAGGTGTAAAAGACAACAGGATGGAAAAAAATGTTTGTTTCACACGACAGTGTAGTTTGATGCTGTCAGTGGAGACTTGCAATTGATTAAACAAGCAGGCAATCTTGTTTTGTCCCTAAATTCCAGTTTGGTGATGAGGGTACAAGATAGTGCTCTGTATTTTATCTATCTTTTCCTCTTTAAACTCTTACCCAGAGTTAATAGCTTATTCTTCTCATCTTGTCTGTTTGAAGTGCTCTTAAGAGTACCTAAATAGCCACAGAAATTTCCAAAGCACATGGACTTCAGGAAAGTGAATATAGTCTTTTCTAAAAGTACAGTAAGAGCATAGGGGGTCCAATCCTGCTCTAGAAAATGAAGAAGTTCAGCATAGAAGTGAGTTCCTAACTTAGTAGAAATTGAATATTCTTTGAACTAGGGAAACATATCTCTTCCCTTTTTAGGTCCTTGTTTGGGGTTTTTTTGTTTGATTTTTTTTTGTTTGGGTTTTTGTTTGTTCATTTGTTTGTTTTTTTAAAGCTTCAGTGACTCACTGGTGGTTTATTTCAGGGAAAAAACCGAAACCATCTCGTTCTGAGTCCCCTACTACAACTCCAAACATATCTGTGAAAAAGAAAAACAAAGATGGAAAGGGTAAGTCAAAGAGTTGTCACTGAAGTTTTAAAAAGAACATTGTTTCTGAGTGACCTGTAAAAAGAAGAAGTTCACCAGTTCTGTTGTGATGTAAACCCAAGTCTTATGTTCACAGATGGTTAACATATCTCATCATAAGGCAAGTAAAAGACAAGCATATGATCTTGGTGAAATACTCAGTTCCTAGGGAGAAAAATGTATTTGTCACTTCAGTTGCAAGGGTTCTTGGAAACTCTTCAACCCCCCACAGGGTCTGCTGTGTTTTCAGTGAAGTCTTGGGGAGTGCTTTGCATTGTATTAGTGTTTCTTGGGCTGTGGTTATTTTGACGGATGATCTTTGAAAACGTGTTCCATCTGTGTCTAATTCTGCATGAGGAGCTAATCAAGGCTGCCAGTCAACAGCAGGAAGTACCAAGCCCTGAATTTGGAGAAAAGTTATAACACAGCTTGAAGACTTCAGCAGAAAACTTGGGGGTTTGATACTTTAATTCCTCCCGTGTTTAAAAGGGAGAAATAAAAATAGATGCCACATAACTGATACAATAAATCATTTCCTCCAGACTGGACTGTTCAGTAATGCCTGTCAGTTTTGTCAACAGCTCTGTTGCTTTGCTGTTGGGTCCAACGCCTGCACCCGTGCCATGTCTGAATGGCAGCCTGATGCTGTGGACCCAGCGAGTTGTGCTGCACTCAGTGGGAGCTGGAAATGAGCGTCCCCCATGTCACGGCTGCCTGCCTGTATGCCTAGGGACTGATGGGCTTGCATGCATATGCAGTACTTGCCGGGACAGAAGCCCAGCCAACCTTGGAAAATGGTGTCATAACAATGTCAGACTCATGAAGTCAGAAAAAGTCTCTACACTGACAAATGAATATGTTGGGTTTTTTCTTTTTGAAGAGGCGTTTTCTGCAATAACAGGAACAAAATACTATTGGCAAGCAATAAATATTTAACATGTTAATGCCATTCATTTTAAGTACACCTTGTTGCCTTTTTTTTTTAATTACAACCTGATTTTTAAGTAAAAATGAAAGAAGAATATCAGAGGAACCTCCATATGGTGCTCAAATGAAATAATAGAAAATATGAAAGCAGCTAGCCATAAAAATTAAAAGGCAGAAGATTCTAATGTTTCTGTCGATGATGGCAAGGATACATCATAATTCACATTTGTCCATTGTTACAAAATTGCTAATTCTGAAGGAAATAAAAGGGAGTGTGTTGCCTGAAACCACTGCTTGCTATGAAGAGCATTTGTTTTGCATTTTGGGAAACATAGAATTCAAGTAAAAGACATACTAATATGACCAGCCGTGGCAGGGAAGAAGCTAGAAAATCACGAGAGCTGCCTGTGTATTCCCTAAGGGGAACTTGTATGCTAAAATAACAAGTTCTCCATATAATTATATTATACAATGCTTAGAGAAAACTGAGTTTTCTACCTATTTTATTCTGTTGTGACTCAGAGGAGGTTAAAAAAGCCTGTCGGTAAAGCAGACCTGGTTTTTTGCAGCCAGTCGTTTTCATAGTGATTTCAGTGGCTAAGCAGTGACGAATTTTCAGATTGCCTTGATGCAGCTGAGCATTTTTGGTCTAGACTACAACAAAAGCACCCTGGATTAGATCATAAATGGCTGGGAATGCTCTCACTCCTGTATGACAGTCTTAACCTTTACCTCCGGGGTGTCTGAAGGCAAACAGACTGTTTTATGTAAGCTGGGAGACATTTGCAAAGGCGTTGTTTTTTCTCTAGGAATGCTCACTTTTCAAGCTTCCACCTGCTGAAGGAGCTGCTAACATTTTTGTACTGCCAGTGCTGATGACTTTGATGAGCATTTACTAAATATAGCTTATAATACAGTACTATGGGAATTTAATTTTTTAGGAGAAAAAAAGATCAGACTGGTGGTTGTTAAAATGGAAAAAAATCTGCTGGGTTAAATTGAAGCTATCAAAAGTGATCCTGTCACCTTCTAATGTGCTGGGCATCATATTTTGTGGAATTTATGAAACTTGCACATGCTATCATTGCTGTGTTTTTGCACAGCTACTTCTGGGACGTGATATAAGAAATTTTTACTTACTTTCTCAGACTAACAACTAAAAAGCCTACGTGCAGCTTCAGATTCCCAAAAGAAAGTCAAACACCCAAAAGCCTTAAAAAAAGAAGGCAGAAAAAAGGATCTAATTGATTGTATGGGTTTAGACTCCTTAAATGTGGTTCAGAAAAAATATGCAAATTTTGTGCTTGTTTTAAGTATTCACAGTCTGTGATTTTAATACTGTTTCTTTATACGTGGTAAACACTGAATAGATGTGACGGATTTCCATATATAAGTGTTTGTGCCTGCTTGTTTGTAAAATTAAATTTGAGGTTGTCTACCAGCAAGTGCAAGTGCTCACTGGATTAAAAAAAATTACCTTTTTCTGTACTTTATCCTTGAAGATATACCTACCTCAGCACATACCACTGATTGCCCCATATAAATCTAATTCTTAAAAGTAAGGATTTTGTTTAGCCTTTTAAAGGATTATAACACTCACCTCAATTCAGCAAAGCATTTAAGCAACAGCCTAATTTCCAGCGTTTTTAGATCATAGACTTGAACATGTTCCTATTCAAGATAAAGCAGTAGTGACTGCTTCTGTAACCGGATTAGGCAGGAGGGAAATGGATACGTAGGTGACTAATGCTGTCTAATCTTGGTGGTTGGAATGGTGCAGCTGTAGGTTGACTGGTGCCTGACTGGTACAGAGAAAGTGTCTGGGGTGTTTGGTCATCCAGATTATAAGAACTCACAGGAATCTTTTCCTATCCTCTTCCATCACTATTTCCTAGTCTTGATTATGTATTACAATCTATTTGTAAAGATCCCAGCTTCTTACTTCTAAGATTATTTGCATCATTAATAAAATATGGTCAACTAATATTTTTTCTATTTTTTGTGTGTTTTGAAATACTTTCATTTTAGGTAATACAATTTATCTCTGGGAGTTCTTACTAGCACTGCTCCAGGACAAAGCTACGTGTCCTAAATATATCAAATGGACTCAAAGAGAGAAGGGCATTTTCAAACTGGTAGATTCCAAGGCTGTGTCCAGGTTGTGGGGAAAACACAAAAACAAACCTGACATGAATTATGAAACAATGGGTAGAGCTCTCAGGTATGTGCATTTTTAATAAAAGACTGTTTTTGTTGCCTTAGGGTTTGTGTGCATTTAATGCCTCGTCTAATTTGTATAGCAACATAGTATTCTATTAGTTTGGAAAATGAAGAAATTATTTCAGGAAAATAAAATTAGCTAACTAAAAGTAACCCTTACTAACCTCAACTCCAAGTCAGTCACCTTCACTTTCAGCACAGACATTTTTCAGTGCTGCTGCAAAAACTGCATCTTCAGAGTCAGACAAAGTAAAAGACTGAAGATTTCAAGTGGGGCAAGCCTTTTACATAAATTTGAATGTCTTTTCTAAAAAAAAAAAAAAAGCTAAATGCAGGTGTATTCATTAAATTGTTTCTACTTGTTGCACATGATCCCCTTTCCAGTGGAAGATAAAGTTTTAGAATTCAGATCTGATTTCACTTCTCTGAACTTGTGTGTACAGACAATTTTAAAACATAGAATTGTGTGCCACTGCCTATCAAGCCGGGGGTTTTCTCATACATAAGAGACTGCAAAATAAGCAGATGTCCACGAAGCTTCAGTCTTACCTGGATAATTGTCCAACTCAGCAGCTATGCATTTCTTTTAATTTCCCTTCACCTCTCACCTCAGTGTGCGTAATTTCAAATTGTCATATTAGTTTGTAAATATAACAGAAGTAGTGCCTTCCTGTCCTGTTCCCTTTGCTTTGCTGTAGCTGAAATGTCTGCCTGTGCTCACTGGTGAATAAGCATGAATTCAGGTAACTGAAAGAACTGTATGAGTCAAGAGGAGAATTGAAAGTTTCATGCACCTTTTTAAAGTGTGTGAGTTGATAGCAGAGCTGCCAAGTCGTGGAGTTCTTTTCTTTTTCTCCGCAGAGGTATTTAAGGTTGGAGGTAAAACGTGACATGAAATACCAGTAAATGAAAGTTGTTTGAGGAAAACAATATGCTATTAAATTGGCAACTTTTTTATAATGAAGAAACTAGACACTTAAAAGTTTGTTTACTTGTTAGTGCTGTGTTTATTTTCTGGGAGTTTTGTGGCTTTGTTTTGGTTTTGGCAAAAAACCTGTGTAACTTGATGTATGTATGCTTTAAACAGATACTATTACCAAAGAGGAATCTTGGCTAAAGTAGAAGGGCAGCGTCTAGTGTATCAATTTAAAGAAATGCCAAAAGATCTCATCTATATTGATGATGAGGATGCGAGCCCTAGCACTGAATCATCAGATTCAACTCTGCTCTCGACTGCGGTGGCCAACAGAAACCAATCAAGCAGAACTAGAGCATCTGCAAACGCAGGAACAAAGGGAGGATCAACCGCGATGCTAAAAACAGGAAACGCAAAGCCTGCTAAGCTGAAGGAGCATGTAGAAGTTGGACAGCAGCAGACACCTGGCTTGACTTCAGAAGTTTTGAGGACAATGCAATCTCCGCAGCCAGTACAATCCACTCAGCTTTTTCGGACAGTTCACGTAATGCAGCCGTTGCAGCCCCTCACAGAAGGACATGCAGCTGTAACCAGTAATGTTCCGGATGAATCGTTGAATTCCTCGGTTCAGAATATAAGGTAAGAAAATATACAGAACATAAATATTTGAATAATAATAAATTCACTGGCTAATGGCTAGATAGAGTAGATTGTTTTACTTCCAAGAAATGCTAGTCTTCCAGTTTAATTGACATGAAACAATGTCTTTGTGGTTGATCCTAGGAATTTAGAGTGACTACAGCATACTGTGACACGTACACACATAAACACTCTGCCTTTGGTGGGGGGAAGTGCATCCTTCCCATGGTATTAGACTTGATGCACATCCTTTCGAGAGTTAAAATACACAACTCCTTAAAATTGGCATTGTCAATTCTGTTCCACAGCAGAAACTGTGTTTTCATGTCTCTGCTTCTACACCAATTGTTTGGTGGCTTTGCTTTTGAATTATACATGGTGGGTCTGCATGATCCCTTCAGAAAGATTTTCCTTCTTGCTTTTTCATCTTAAGAATTTTTTGTCATCTCTTTAATCTTTTGTATTGTCCCCAGTTACAGCAAGGGAAAGTTCCATGTTATCTGCTCTAGCATTTTGCTGCTGTTACAAGAACAAGTTCTTTTGATTTTAGAAAACAATTAACAGAATAATTTCATGGGAGCTGTGTATCTGCAGACTGTTTTTGGAGACAGTCATGCTTCCAGGCTGAATTTGTAAGTCAACTGGCTAACACTACACAGTATCATGACTCTTTTGCATCTACCCCTTAGTAGCAGCATCCTAACTGAAGAGGCTTTAAAAAGTCACTTAAGCCTGATTTTACCCTAGCCTGAGGTGTCGCCCAATGGACAGGTGCATATGGAGCTTGTTCATCTCAGCCATACTGACTACAAAAGACCTAAAACAAACAAATGTTCTTGCAATCTAGGCTCCTCACAGGAATGTCAGAGTTGTATATAGTGATTGTGGACCTTAAAGCTGTTTCAGGAAAACTTCAGGATATGATTCAGGAGCTGCACATTCTCAATCAATTATCATAACTTTTTTTGATATTTGCTTTGTTAGTGGTTATAATTTTCTGCTGCAAAATGGCAGTAATGCTATTTCCTGCTCCCTTCCTCTGTTCTTTCCTTTGAAAATCACATCCAGAGCCACCAGTAGTTTTGGAGTGGTACTGACTCTCTGAGGTAAACCATGTGTTTTTGTCAGAGAAGTGGGTAATGACAGTAATGAGACCAAATAATTTCTTTGTTTCCGAAGAACAGGAGAAAGATTATATTTTATCAGAAGTTTATGTGAAAGATGATTATGAAGGATTTAACAAAAAAATTCCAGTTTTGAAATGAATTTAGAGAATTAATAAAAATCTGCATCAAGGTGATGTGTTGTATGTTTTTAAAGCTTAGGGATGAAGCTACTCAGTACAGTGCAGTCCAATGAGTTTGGGCTTGATGAAGGATTTACTTACTTGTAAAAATTGACAAGGGCAATATATAGTGAAAGGAAATAAGTACAGATATAATTGAGGCTATGCAGTACCACATAAGTCAGAAGAACAATAATATTAAACATTAACAGGGAGAAAGTTCAGGAATTTGCAGAGTTAAATAGGTCTAGGCTAGACCTACACTAGATTACGTATCACAAAAAATGTCAGTAGTATAGATGGTATAAGGAATGGTAACAACAAACAGAAGTAAGACTTAATGCAGGCTAGAAGTCCAGCCTAACATTTGGAAAGCTGTTCAGTGACATTATGACATCCAGTTATTGCATTACAGTATTTCACAATCGGACATTGGGTAATAAACTAAGGGGAAAAAGTAGTAGAGATGATATATGTGTGAGGTTCAAATTAAATAAAAGCCTTAAAGCCTTAGAGTTCTGTATTGCATTGGTTCACATCCATTGTTTGTAACTTAGAACATTATTCCATGAAGTCTTCAATTGCACTTTTCTTAGCCAAGATGATAAAGTGTCTTAAATGAAGGAGAAAAAAGGAACCATCTGACCTTTTCAGAATGGTATAGAAGTATTGCTGATTAAGAAAGATTATACTACAGCTTCTGAGCAGTTAGAATGAAAAAAATAACCACCAGGATGGGACAAGCTGCAAACCAAGGTGCTGATGAATCCTGTGCAATAGTCACTGCCCATTCCAGGCTCTCAAAATACAATTTATGACAGATAAATTTCTGCTAAACTTCAAAGTGCAAACTTAAAGTAGTTTGGTGATGTAGAATGACACACTGAACTTATTTTGGAGCATATGTTTTTTCTTGTTTTATAATAAGGCTAAAACAAAGGTTGGTTTGTTCAAACAGCTAAATCTCTAGTAGTTGAATGTGTTTGTGTACACATTCTGAATTGCTGCAGTGGGGCTTCCATAAGGGTTGAAATGGGTGGTCTACTTGATTTGAAAATGTACAGCAGGTATGAATGCCATGGTAGACTAAGAGTTGGCAGACCTTCTGATGTATGCACATGCTCTGTAGGATTGTGTTTGGAGTCACTTTACAGTAGGAAGAATGAGGACAAATAGCAACATTGGTTGCCAGTTGCTGTTCAGTGACTGGGGCATGTAAATAGTCAAGGTCATTTGGGCAAAACAGAAACTAGGGTCTGGTTATGATTCTCGAAAGTTTTTCTGATGCATACTGTTTAGTGGTTGGGCTCTGCTTCGAAGCATGAACATATTGAACCCATATAGTTTGTCTTATGCAATGTAGTTCTAAAGTTTTATTCGTGTGAATGTTCACTCCTCTGCTTGATGGAAGTAAATGGTCTTCCCTCTGCAGTAATTTGCTTCTGTTGTTTTAAGAAGAAAAAAAATAAGAGAGAAAATATTGAACATCTTTGAGGTCAAAACAATTGGTTTCTTAACACTTAACTGTAGCCTTCAGAGAGTAAGTTCTGAACCTACATCATCTCTGTTGAGGAACTTGGTAAAAGAATCACATTTGAAGACTGTTGTGAAGGGCTCATGTCAGCATCCCTGCCCTGCACTAGGCAACATTGTCTGGTACAGACTACTCCCAGAGCACCACTGGGAGAGTGTTGCAGCTGTTCCCCAGGGCCTCTTGGCGTTTCTCAAAGAAATGGGCATGCCAGTGAGAATCCACAGTTGGTTCTTTGCAGGAGACAGGCAGCAACTTCATTTATAGCTGCACAGAGCTTGTATCTTACTCTGAAGTGGAAAGGTCTTGGCTTTTGGATGGCTTTTAATGTGCTTTTTGTACAAGTTTTGGTGCTGTTGTATGAAGGGGAGACAAAGAGAAGTGTTACTTTCCAAGGATAAATGCCTCTTCAGCCCCAGTGCTTAAAGAGAAAGGCTGTGGTGATCTGTTAACTGAAGCTTAGGAGACAGGGCAGGAGCAGGGTCAGGTCAAGCAAACTGGATTTTGCTGACTGAGGAAAACATGTAGTATCCCCAGTGGGAATATTTGAAATTGTAAACGCACTGCTGTTCTGCAGATCTGACTGTTCTGGCTTGGTGTATGCAAGCACAGTTACCGTAGTCTCCAGTTGTGTAACTGGGAGCCAAGTTTGGCACCAAATGTTTGCAATGATAAGACAAAAATAAAAATGTCACTCTGGATGAGCATTTTATTGCTAACTTTTTCCAATGAGACACCGTTTACAAGGAAGAAGAAGTTTCTTTGAATTTAGTGCTTGTAGAATTCTTCTGTTTAAATCAGAATAACTTACACAGGTTAACCAGAACATCTGGTTTATTTGAGTAATTGTACTTCAGCTTGGAATTAGGAGGCACTGGCCTGGGATTCAGCTCCATGACCGTTGGATCATTCTGAGTGTAAAGAGCATCCTTTCTGTTGCTCCAGAAAGTGTACCTCTCCTGTAAGGCTAGGGACTTACCTTGTGTAGGACATCATACAGGGCTGTAAGGTGCCTGTGTTTGGGCAATTAAATTTCTCCCTTAAATGATGAGGGCTGGAGATAAAAAGATTCTTGAAAATGCATTTTCATTTGCCTTTAATCTAGAGTAGTAGTGATTTAAGATGTAGTGAAAAGAGGTTCTCACATTACTTACGGTTCAGAGAAGATTATATAGTGAGTAATTTTAAATTATGTCTCTGTCTCTTTTATTGACTGTATGGGACATAGCTGAATCATCTAGCTGGCAGCTCTGTGTACCAAGAAACTTGGAATTAGCTGACTGCTGACAGACCTTTTACAATGCTTTAGCAGGCTTCAGGTATGAAACACAATGTTTCTATCAATATTCAATTCTGAGTCCGAATTCTGGTCTTCTAACATGTTCTGTCCAAGCTACCACAATGACAACTCAACTTCTGGCTAATTTAGAAGGCTATCCTTTGATCGGCCACCATCAGTGCCCGTGCTTTGCTTTGCTTCTGTTTGCAGTTAGACAGTAGTCTCCTATCAGTGCTCCAAAGGCAGGCCTGCAGTAGAAGCTCTCCAGCACACTGACTAGTAGATACCGTTGGATCTGACTCACTGCTGCCATAGCCTTCCCCAAAGGAAGGCAAACAGGTGACTGTTACAAAGAGCTGATCTCTGTAATCTCTTAAGTGAAGGCTTGACTGCAATGTAGATTTCAGGATGGTGAGAAAAATGTCCTTCCTGAGGGAGATGTTGGTCAGGAATAGACTGATGTGATCTCAGTGGGCTTCTACAAGAAACTCTCTTTATCTTACAACAAGGTTTGTCTGTCAGAACACATTTGTAATAGGGATGACTTCTATCACAGCTATCTATCTTCTGTCAAGACTTTGGTTATAACCAAACATTTCGATGTGATTTTCCTGCAGCTGAGAAGAACTTTTCTTAAATGCAGTTCTGATTTAGTTTCTGTGGTAGGCAAGAAGGCAACTGCTTATGACAGGAAGGACTTCAAAATCCTCTAGTCAGACTAATTTTGTTTCTGCACAATAAGAAGCTATCCGTAGGAGCTCTCTTTCCATGTCTTTCCACTGTTGAAAGAGGTAGGGGCTCTGCAGATTTCTGTTAGTAGCAAAGTTCCTGAGTTTTAATTCAGGTGACTGTGCAGTTTTGAAAAATTCTAGTAAGAAGAATGTAAAACTCCGTGGGTCAGTAAAAAGGACAGCTTTAAGAGCTGAGTCCTCTGTCCTCATGACGTTAAGAAATGATGTTGTTCAGGCAAAGCATTAGACAAGAATGTGCACCGCCACCACTTCAGAGGAGGCTGTGTTAAGACTGGGCAGGAGGGCATCAGCATCAAGCACGTTTCTACCTCTCATGGACATCACCTGCTGGACTGCTTGGCAGCACCTGTCCGTGTGGCTTGTGCTGTAGAACAGCCGGTGGCTATGAGAAAATACACTGGGGTGAAGTATTGATAAGATTGCTGATGACTGAGGATCATGTCCATGAGTGCAGCTGTGGAGCAGTTTGCAGCAACAGTACAGCTCCTGAGTAGCATTTGGTTGATGCTCTCTGTATAGTACTCAGAGGAGATCACCTCTCAACTTAGGCATCCAAAGTGATTTTAACAAGCTCGTCCCACCTCTTCACCTCCTTTACTCTTCCTGGCTTGACTGAATGAGTTCTGGCAACCAGTTAATTGAACAAATGGGCTAAGTCTCTGGAAATTAGCCTATTTACCTCCAGGCCGTCATTTCCCCTGTAGCTGTAGGTTGAACAATGTGTATGTTGGAGAGGGAATTCTGTGGTACATCTCTCTATGTTTCTTAATATTGTATTGTTTCATTTTCTTACTGTACTGTGAAATACTTTGTTTACCTTGGCTTGTAGCTTCAATTTGTTTTATATCTTCCTTGGCTTGTAGCTTCAGTATTTATTGGTATAGTTTCCATTTCATAATTTTCACGTAAATTACCACGAATAAACTTGTTTTTCTTGCCTGTCACTTACTGTTTGCTTTATCACTAGTTACCTCTTGATGAGCTAATAAGATATTGCACAATTCTAGGCCATTAACAGTAACAAATGGACCAAGAAATAGACCATAATTTTCTGCCAAGCTAAAATGACTTCTGAATTTTTGTCATTCTTTTCTCAGTTGTAACCAGATTGTTTTATGGCAGCATTTCCTTTTCATCACTGTTGCTCAATGTTCTTGTTCTTTTTGAAACCTCAGCAGGAACTTTTAAAATAATTGACCAAAAGATTTGTACCTTAGAGCAGAAGTGGTGTTAGCAAAATATCAATGAAATTCGAAAGTGTAGCAAAATATACAGTTCAAAGCACCTAAAATAAAGTAACCCAGTGTTAACAAATCACCTTAATTAGTGTGTACATTTTTTTTTTAAATGGAGAAAATGATTAAGCTGTATTTTTTTTCAGCGATATTCAAGGCAAACAGTTTGAGCAGGTAGATTTTTAGTTAGTAAACAGATACAGCTGTCTGTAGTTTTAACAATTAAGGAAAATGTCTTGCTTGGCCACCAGTAATGTAAATAAATATTTATGCTGTGCTTGTGCAGACGCCTGCTGCATGCATTCACTTTAGCAGGTTCATACTATATGTGTATACATATATCTGTATGTACAGGTTTATATACTTGTGTATCATATATCTATATCTTGACTGATGGAAAAGACAAAGCATCTAGATTAAACTATTAATCACAGTATGGTGTACAGGTATGGGACTGGCTTTCAAGAGAAATAAAATGGCTTAGCATCGATATGCAGATACTAATTACAGTATGCTAAGACAAATGGCCTGATTTCCCAGAGCTTTTACTCCTAGTGCTTTAGAGATACTTTCTGCATTGATTAGATCCAGTTCACACTTTTCAAGGTTGTCCTTTACAGCCATTTAGCAGTTAGAAGCTTTTATTTTTTACAAAACAACTAGAGAACAAGAAAGTAGCTTCAAAGTAATCCTTGGATGGCATACCAGCACAAGCTATCAGCTTCAGGTGCTACTTTCAAAACTGCAGCTATTGAGTTGATCTTAATCCTTCAAGCTCAGGTAAGTTTCTTTATGGATTAAAGAGCTGACTCAGTATCTACTCTGAAACTTTTAAAGCTTTTCTGATGACAAGTGTCAGCTGTCTTTCCTTCATAGCTGTTCCACTGGCATTTGTTGGTCTCTGTAGACTTTCCTGGGTTGAGCTGTATGTATGTGACACTTTGGTTTTACTGCAAGTTTGTTTAACTGTAGGTAAAAAAAGCTAGTGGATGCCCTCATCCTATTACTATTTCTGACTTTTCTGTGAAGGTCCCAGGAAAATTGCGGGGGCAAGAAAAAAAAAAGAGAGTTAGCACTAATAACCTTTCTCACACCTGATGTGAGCCTTGGTACTGTCATTCTGAGCCTTGCACTTTAAGCTCCGTGTTGGTATTTGCGGTGCAGCACCAAGTTCTCCAGAAGTTTGAAAGAAAGAAGCAATCACTCTAGCTGGTGCTTCACCTCCAGCCTCATTTCTATGAGCTTCTTCCTTGGGCAGTCTCTAGTTTAGTGAAAAAGGAGCTCAAGATGACTCAGGTGTCAGTTACATCAAATTTTGAGTCCCGATTATGATGGCCTTTGTGATGAGACCTGTGTGGGAGCCTTGTTGGCAAGGATTTGGATTTGTTTTGCTATTGCAGCATTGCTGGGTACTGCAACCTTCTTTCTTGGGAAGAAGAGAAAGCTACAGATGGAAGTTTTGTTCCTTGTGTTAGCAAGCTGTGTGGGAGCTGGGGGAAAATATTGCATGCAGCAGGGACTGGCAGCTGGAGGCTGCTCAGAGAGTACCCATGTGCTCTGAGCCTAATACCAGCAGGGTTACTGGGGCTACTCTTGCTGGAGCAATCTTTGGAGCTCAGCTAGAGGCCTTTCCCAGAGGACTGAGCTGAGTAGGACCTGGCAAATCATCTACATATATTCCTTCACTTGCTTCTGCTGCTGCACTAAGAAAATGGGAATGCAGCTCCCTGTGTGGTTGGACTATGGCCAGCAGCAGCATCTGCATCCACATTGCCCTGTAGCTTCAGCTCCACATAAGTCCTGCTTTGGTAAGCTTTTTGTTGAAACTGGGATAGCCAGAGTGTAGTTTTAAATTGACATTTTGAATATGCTGAGTCAGAGTTGATTGGTCCATGGCTAAATGCTGGCAAGTAGGATTTCACAGAGCTGTGAAAAATAGATGCTACACGGATAGAAGGACTACAGAAAGCAGGATGTTCCATGGTAGATGTATGGTAGGCAATCCTTAGAGCATATCTGATGTCCAGTGTTCAGAAGAAAGAGCAGGCAGAGCTGTGCGTGGACTTCAAAGTAGAAATGTTGACAGTAAATTGCTTTGCATCTAAAGTGATTTCAGCAGGGGTAGAAATAAGGTAGGAGGAGGAGATAGTTATTTTTGTTTATCTTTGAGAAAATACAAGGGAGAGCTTAAAACTAAAAAAGGAGGAGGAGGGCAGGCAGGAGAAAACACTAAAAAGAACCAGGAAGGTTGGACAGAACTTTGCATGACAAGCAGAAGGAAAGAAAGACTGTCAGAGACAGCATGGCACAGTGGGCTGGAGCAAGCTGTAGGAGAATGTCAAAGCAGTTATCCTTCCCTTCTCTTTCCCTCTCCAGTAACTATTTATGTTATGGTTTGGATTTTTTGTTTTGGTTTTATTTGCTTGACCTGGAGTGTGTTGCAAAGTTTAAGTCACTGTTGTCCACTGCAGTAGCTGTGTACTCCAGCAGTACAGCTGTTAACCTTCTAATGTTGCCCTTGCAGCTGTATATCTGTTGAAAGTAATGTGGCACCCAAGTCTTTGAGCCTGAAACTGATGGAATTACTCCTAATTTAAAGTGATGTTTTTGGGAGCAGGTTCTGTTCAGTTGTTTTACCAGAAGTCATGTATGAGCCTGGCAGACAGAGAACTGTGTGTCCTGGGAGTCTGAGAAGGTCTTGACCAGATTTACTGCTGCAATGTGAATTCTTTTGCATATAGGTAGATGTATATATGGATGTCAGGAGAATCAAGGCCTGACTTATGAATTATTTAGGCTCGTGATTTGTGAATTATTTAAGGTAACTTGTGAAACTGATGGCAGATGTGTAGTGGGTCATGCTTGTGATGTTGGTTGATGCTTGAGATGGGGAGTCTTAGATGTGATTCCCAGTTTTTTTGATGACCTACTCAATGTCTCAAAGGCAGGCTGTTCAGTTTGGTGATGGCAGTATTGTTCATGCACGTTACCTTTACTTTCAGAACATCTTGCTGAATTCAGGGGTCAGGTCCAGTTCTTTTTTATTAGGAGAGATACTGCTACTTCTTTCGGAAATGTTGGGTAAATAAATGTTTATGATGCCAAATGATTTTTCTATAGTAAGTATTTTTTTTAAAATTCAGCGTGGAAGTGTTTTGACCCTATAATCTTTTCTAATCTTAACAGGACTTTACAGACTCCAGCCCAGGTTCCAGTGGTTGTTTCTCCTGGAAATCAGCAGCTGCATACTGTAACACTCCAGACAGTGCCTCTTACTACAGTTATAGCCAGCACAGATCCAGCCTCAGTAACAGCAGCCCAAAAATTTATTTTACAAGCCATTCCGACTTCCCAAGCCATGACGGTTCTTAAAGAAAACGTCATGGTACAGTCTCAGAAGCCAGTCTCGCCTCCTTCCTCAATTGTGCTGAGCCCAGCACAAGTTCAGCAGGTGCTCACCAGCAGTGTGCAGACAATTTGCAATGGAACAGTCAACATGGCTTCATCTCCATCCTTCAGTGCCACTACCCCCGTGGTGACATTTTCGCCCAGCAGCTCCCAGGTGATGTCTCATCCGTCGGGCACGGTGATCACTTCGGTTATTAAAGCACCAGAAACCAAACAGGTTGGCGTAAAAGAAGCAGTGAAGGAAGGGGGTGACAAATCAGACGATACTGAGCAGTCGGAGCAGAGTTTCCAGCAGCAGCCATTTGTGATGGTAGTGTCCAGTTCAAATGGTATCCCATCTAACATGCAAGTGAAGCAAGAAAATGAGCCATTGGAACCCAATTTGTATTAATAATTAAATAATTAAAAAAAAGACCCTGTGGATGATTATTTTCATAAATGTGATGGGACCTTTCATTTATGTATATATGATTTGATTTTGAAGCAAGATGTTGCAAAGCTACTTAATTTCTGCAGTTAATTGTTAGAATTCATGCTTTAGGATGGATTTTGATTTTCTGTTAATTGCTAAGTGTTATCATATCAATAAAATTATATATTACTCATTTTTCAAAATACAGGCATGAAGGAACATGCTTTTTATGCTATGAAGACTTTCTCCTGAGGTTGTTGGCCAAAGTTTCAAACTTCTTATTTTACGTTTTCAGTCTCTTGCTGATTTACGTTGTTATTGTAACCTTTTCTGTTTAATCTGTATGTGTATCACTTAACTTTTGAAGCAGCAGTTACTTTTAGTGAGACAGTTTCATTCCATGCGTTTGAATTTTTATGATTGAGTATTTGTTTCATACCAGTGAATTACATCAGTTTTAGAATTTGATAACCAGGTATCCTCTTGCATTTTTGCAGCACAAGCTCTTGTGTGTGCAAAATAGAATATACACTCCTATTGAGAGTACACAAAACATATATTCCAGTAATGGACATTGCTATGTCTATATTTTATATGAAAACATTGGATATATTTAATTACAGAAGCTAATGGCATCACTACAGGTGCAAATATTTCATACCATTTTATGACTATGAAGCTTAACAATCTTGCTTTCTACTTCAGATTATTTTGTAAGGGGGGAGGGAAATGAAATATATACAATTTATGCAGGTTTTTGGAAATTAATACTGCAAAGAATTCTTTTTTTTTTGATTGTAAATACTGTACATTCAATGTCGCAGGGAAGTTTTTTCAGCTAATTTGTTTCCATACAAATTTTTGATAGATGCAAATAAGATCATTGTGTTTAGAGGTCTAATGTTATATGTATTCATATTACAGAGTGAATTTGTATTTAAGGACAAATTTTTAAATGATGGAGCCCACTGAACCTTGGGTCCTTGTCTTTTGTATTTTTAATTGGTTTATTATGAAAATAAATCAAATGAAAAAAACATTTTTCTGTATTTACTCTGAAATGCTTTTATATTATTGTAATGTTTTGACAATCATAAACAACAAAAATACAGTGAGAAACAGGACAAGGTGATTAGTCGGCGTGGGTCTGTGGTGGGACATGAGCAATTAATGAATCGCTTCTAAACAGACTTGAACACAACCAGCGTATTGTGGGTATCCTTTGAAATAGCAGTAGTGTATGTTCTTGTAGCTCAGCTGAAGGTTGAGCTTAATTCAAGAACTGGACTTAAACTTCTCCTTTTCCATCAACTCCCACTACATTAAAGACAAACAACGCAAAATTTTGAACATAATTCTCGGGTGCCATTCATTGCAAAGGTGTTTGTAGCTTGTGCCACACAAATGGTAGCTCAAACTGCGAGGGCTTCAAAACCTCGCATGTTGCAGTGTTTAGCGGAAGGTGGATTAAAAATAAACATACCTGGTATGATTCTATCAGTATAAAATTAAAGGAAATATGACTTTCTATGATTGAATTCATGTGGAAGTTTTATTGACGGGTTGATAATGTTAATTATAACTTCAAGCATATGATTACTAGAAAAACTAATAGCAGAAACGTAGTAGAGGTAGTTTGGTCTAGTTGCACAGAAGTAACTCTACAAACAATTGAACAACTCTCTGCCACAGCTGCCCTGTTAATTCAGTATTTATTCCTTCTGACTCCCATGCAGTCAGGCTTCCACCTGCAAACGCAACATGCTTCACCCCAATTCCAGGAAGGCTGGCCATACCCAAACCAGTGGTTGCTTATCTGGCAGCGCTCCCTGCAGCTGGGGAGTGCTGGCAATATTGCTAGGAATGTGGACAAGTGTAGAAGCATATCTGATAACAGTTCTCATCCTGAGGGCTATGTCAGATTGACAAAAGCACTGGAGAGGGAGGCTAGTTTGTTTAATGAAAGTATAAAATGGGGAGTTTTTCCTATACTACAAGTAATTAATAATTCTAGGAAACCTGAAGTGATAATGCTTGACTAACATCAGTGTTTTTAGATGTGGGGAAGTTGTTCTGGTTATTTACTGGAAATATGAAACAAAAAAAAAAATCGCACCATAAGGTTACAGCTTCAGCAACAAAACTTCATGCCATAGATACAACTATTACATGGGGAAAATTATTTGTCAGCTTAGTTTAAGTCAGTTGGAGAAGTGGAGAAAATAAAATCTCCAGTAGCAGTAATGTGTCTCTAGCAGCAGACTGTTGTATAACAGTGAATGGAAATCACTCTGTTCCCACATGCCTTAGGCTCTGATGTACCAGCCAGGTCGATCTGTACTTCAGACTCTCTTTGGTATGGTAAAGGAAGGGAGAAGCTGGAGTAAATCATAAAACAAGGCCCCACATTGGGAATTTGAGCCACCCCTCCCTTATCACAGCTGCCTTTGTGGCAGCAGCCAAACAAAACACGCCAGTGCAAACCCCAGCCGCTTCTGAGTCAGAAATTAATAAAATTGAGGCCGCAGTTCTTCCCCGCACACGTGTGAGGCTGCAGAGGAGAAAAAGGCACTTTTTTATCTCTGAGGCATTTCACAGAAGGGAGCTGGGGGAGAAGGAGGATGGAGGCCTCAGGCTGCTTTTGGGAAGCCCTGTCCACCATCCAGACACACTCCTATTGTCCTGAAGGTGGGCTGGATACCCAGTGTGCAGCATCAGCTCACACTCTGAGGCAAGGTATTTCTGGTTTTTATTCTGGTTTATGCAAAGCAGGGAGGTAGATGGTAACCCACAAGAAGCTGGCTCTCTGCTTATCAAAACTTCATACTAATTACAAATTTTAACAAACAAAGGTATCAGCATTCATTGGTTACAGATTATGCAACTTTTTCATTAATTAGTACTCTTAACTTCTGTTGCTAGTTGTATTTAAGCTGTGCCAGGAGAGGTTTAGGTTGGACATCAGGAAGAGTTTCTTTGCAGAAAGGGTGATTAGATATTGGAATAGGCTGCCAGGGGAGGTGATGGAGTCGCCATCCCTGGAGGTGTTTAAGGAAAGACTGGATGTGGCATTCAGTGCCATGGTCTAGTTGACATTCTGATCTCAGAGGTCTTTTCCCACCTACTTGATTCTGTGATCTCTTGCTTCTCATGCTAATCAGTCCACAGGCACAGTTCTTCCCCCCATTTGAGTCTGGGATCCGTTTCAAGCAGGTGCTCAATGGGTCAGTGGTTGTGATCTCCCACTGCCGGAATGGCCTTTCCCCCAGTTACTGCCCAGCCCTGCTGACTGGACTCCTGGGGGCTCTTGTCCAGACAGTCCATTCCCCTTGAAATTGTCTTCGCTTTTCCTTTAAAACAAAAGATTAGACAAGCATATTATGCTCACAATGCAACTGCTTAATCATAACTGGACCAGCTACAATTAACAACTAAAAAAAAATAAATTGCAAGATTTGTCTTGAGGGGCTCAGCATAAAAGAGGAGGGGCAGACATTGATCTCTGTGGTGACCAGTGACAGAACCGAGGGAATGGCCTGAAGCTGTGTCAGGGGATGTTTAGGTTGGATATTAGAAAAAGGTTCTTCACGCAGAGGGTGACTGGGTGCTGGAACAGCCTCCCCAGGGAAGTGGTCACAGCACCAAGCCTGACAAGAGTTCAAGAAGCGTTTGGATGATACTCTCAGGCACATGGTGTGACTCATGGGGATGGTCCTGTGCAGGGCCAGGAGTTGGGTTCGATGATCCTTGCGGGTCCTTTCCCACGCAGCATGTTCTGCGACCCCGTGATCGCTCCCGCAAGGAAGGAGCCGCCGAGCGCCGGCAGGGCAGGAAGGGGCGGGCGGCAAGGGCTGTGGGAGAGGCCTCTCCTCCCGGCGCTCCCGTCGCTCCGTGTCCGGGCGGGGGCGGTGCTCCGGGCGGGGCTGCGGGGCCGCTTCCTCCTCCCGTCCCGGCAGCCCCCGCGCGGCGCGGCCTTGGCGGTTCTGTGCGACGAGGGCGCCGCGGCGGCTCCAGAAGTTTCCCGGGGGCGGCAATGGAGGAGGAGGAGGCGGGAGCGGGGTCGGGAGCGGCCCCTCGGCGGTGAGCGCTCACCCCGCCCCACCCGGCCTCCCCCGCGGCCCCGCCGAGCCCGCTCACGGCGTTGTGTTTCCTTGGCAGGTTCTCGGACCGGGACGTCGACCGGGACCCGGGGGCGGCGGCGCAGGTGAGGGCCGGGCCGGGCCGGGCCGGGCCGGGCCGGGCCGGGGGGGCTCCCTGAGAGCCTGGCTCAGGGGAGATCTGGCTGCGGGGGTGCCCAGCGCCGTCCTGTCACGGTACCTCTGTGGCAGAGAAGGAGGCGGGGGGGAAAGCAAGACAAACCAACTTTCTCTTTCGTGTAGGTAGGTGGTAGCTCACATAACTACATCAATTGTGATTTGTGGTTTAAAAAGCCCCAAGCTTTTTGGAGAAATGTATTCTGTCTTAGTTTTTATTGTGCCCTGGTCTATTTTAAAATTTCCCTACGTTTAGCGGGGACCAGGACTGATTTTCATTTCATCTCGGCATAAAAAAATAATTTTTTTACTGTGAGAACGATCACTCACCAGAACAGCCTCCCAACGAACGTGATGGAGTCCACATCACTGGAGGTTTTCGACACACCAATGGACAGGCTGCTGGATATCCTTCTCTAGGCTGCCTTTCCCCTGAAGGGTTAGATGAGATGGTCCTTTGAGATCCCTTACAAGCTGACCTGTTCTATGATTTTGCCTGTTAACATGTTTTAATGTGCTTTCTAGGGTTATTTTTACTTAAAGCAGATGGTTAATGGGAAGACAGAACTGGAGGGTGGACAAATATGTCTATTTAAGTGCTTGGAAGGGGAGAGGATGTAAATGGTTAGTTTTGCTTGAATAGAGTAGGTAATAGGACTCTAAGATGATACTGAATTATCTTTCCACAAAGAAAATGGTATGCTAAACTTTTCAGTTCTTTGGAGTTTATCCTGTAACTTCTAAAAGTTTTTCAAAAGATAAATTACATCTAAAAAACTGGGCTTGAAATCACCAAATATATATGGAAAATAAAACTAATTCAAGACCTAAAAAAAAAAAAAAAAAGTTTTATATGGTGTGGTGAAAAACACCCACCAAAACAAGCAAATCAAAAATCCCTGACACCAAAAGGTCATCAGAAGTATTAAAGAATATTGACAGAATATGCATTTGTATTGTTTCCTGTATTAACATAGTTGTTTTGCTTTTCAGTTCTTTGTACATTCAGTGCTTCAGAACATTATGTAACACATTGTGTAGGCATTATTTAATATCTGTCAGTGTCTTCTAAAATTTTTATACCAGTGTCTTCTAAAATTCCAGTGCCTTTTTTAAAACTCCTGAATTGAGTAGGCAGGTGGTGCTTGGTAGTCTCTGAGATGGTTAAGCCCATAGTTCAGTGTAGCATTTTGCTGACTTACAAGCTTGGATCTACAGGTGGTATGCCATGCTTGCATGGTCTTAGGTGAGGTCTTCTAATTCATGTCCTTAATATTTCTAATCTGGGAGACGATTCTGTATAAGTGCTGCTGTGTAATGCTTCCCTACCTTGCTAGACTTGTGTCCAGTTGGCCTGCACTGTCTCTAGGATTTTTGATTCCTTTAGTTCCTGGAGAGCATCCCTTGGTTTTCTGCACCTGGATCTGATGCAAGTGGAGGATCATCATCCTTTTTTAAATACTGTCTGAATGATAAAGCTTTGAACTCATCAATGACTTTTTTTTCATTGTAAGTTGAAAAAGTAGATTGCTGTGTGGAGTCAGAAAGAATCTTTTAATTCACATAAACTCTTTATCATTTAGCATGAAGGGACTTGAAAGTTCCCAATGTGTTTAGAAATAGGTTTGCAATTTGGTGACATAGTAAGGGGCCTTTAGAGTCAGAATATGCAGAAAACACATACTTGAGTGTGAGGACAAAGTCTGAGCTTGTTGCTGATGTCCATAATCTGGACTTTCTGGTGCTAGTCAAGTATTATTTGGCTTCTCAAATAGGTTATAGGAGT